GCTGAAAACATCTCGGCCATGCAGTTGGAGAAGGTAGTCGACAGACATGAACCCCTGGTTCCAACTACCCTTCGCAGCAACAATTAGCCATCATGTCATCGGCCTCAAAAGACTGGTGACGCTCATCATTGTGTGAAGACTTGTCAGTCATGCCACAAGGACAAGTCGGATCACTCATCACAGCCGGGACCCTCGCAGCCATTACATGTCCCTCAAAGACCATGGAAAAGTGTTTCCCTCAGATTCATCACGGGATTGCCCCAAGTCGGCAATCTTGCATCCATCATGATTGTCATAGATCAATTTTCAAACTATGCAACCTTCATAGCAGCCCCGAAAAATGCATCAGCAGAAGATACAGCTCGACTCTTCTTCTCGCACATTGTCAAACATTGGGACCTGCCCAAAAACATTATTAGTAGGCGCGACTCACGCTTCACTAGCAACTTTTGGACCCATCTCTTCAGGTGCTTTGGGTCAACATTGAGTCACAACTCAGACATCCATCCACCATCGGATGGCCAGACAGACCGGTTCGATGACATGCTGGAGGAATATCTCCGCAACTTCGCAACCGGATCACAGAAGCATTGGGTGAAGCTCCTGGATGCTGCTCAACTGTGTTTCAATTCTCAAAAGAGCCATCATACAAACAAGAGCCCTTTTGAAATTGTTACCGGACAGCAACCGCTTCTCCCGCAAACGGTGAATGCATCAACCATGCTGAAATCTCCTCGAGCTGCCAATTTCTCGAGCGAATGGGAGCGCAACATGGAGATAATGCGGAGCTATCTCATCAGGGCCCAAGAGCGGGCAAAAAGGTTCACCGAACAAAAGCTTTGTTTTGCCCAACATCAACCAGGGGACAAAGTAATGCTATGCATCCCAAAGCGGTACTTGTTTGCAGAAAGGACCAATGACCCTCGCCTGCAACAAAAATACATCGGGCCCCTGTCCATTGAGAAACGCATTGGGGAGTCCACATACCTGGTCAAAACTCCATCCTGGTGGAAGANTCATTTTCATTTCAGTGTGCTTCTACAGCTTTATTAGGACTAGTCTTGTAATGTTGGTTTATTTTTTTTAACCATTATTAAGAGGGACCAAACAATCAAACATTTCAATCATGATTTTCTGGTGTCTCTCCCCCTCGACACCGCATCATTGTAAACATCATTTTCAGTCATCAATAAAATCATCATCAGCATTCAAAACCCAATTCTCTGTCAGCTTCCGCAATTGCTCACGACATTGGTTTTCCCGCACGGCACTGACAATCTAGTCTAGCGTGCGGCGAGGACCTCATTGGCGGAAAGCAACCGCACTGACATCGGTTGCTTAGCCTTACGTTGCCCTTCCAAAGATCATCAGGAAGGCGTTGCGTAACATTACATGTGCTTCTACTCAAGCTAACCGATCATTTGATCCATCAAATAGTAATAATCCTACTCCTAATACAGATAATACGTACCTTTTATATATTATATTGACGAGGAATATATCTATTAATTATTGTTTCTTCTCCTTTTTTCTGATGCTTATTGGTCATTGTTGTTAGTATATTGGGGATTTCCATTTCTCCGCGGAAGTCGTTATATGATAAATTACATTGCACGCATTCTTTTTTATTGATTTTAGTAGATACGAAGGAGCGAAGAACTTCACACCATATAGGCACATCAAAGATCAATAACAGAGATATGGAACAAGATGAAATTGTCCTCCTGATTATTCTTATTTACGTACTAACCAGAAACTGCAAGTATAACCTACAGATTGGACACTGCAGACACGATCCCCGGATATACGCGAAATGAAAGGACAAGAGGATTCTCTTGTCTTATTTTTAAAAATGACATAGAATAAATCTTTTCATGTCACGATCAAAGACTTATCAGCACTGGACAGGTTAGTCCTTGCCACAAAATGATGGAAACTTCTTAGGTACAGCACTCCTGGCTTCATTAAGTATAATCAAACGAGACCATAGCTTAGTGGATGAAGACCTGAGGATATGCATACTAGCCAGAAAATCAACAAGCTCCTGTATGATATCCAGGAACTGCTTCGGTGAATATAATGTTTCAAAACTGGAAATGTTCTTATTTCCATTATTTCATCATCTTCACCCAATGAAGCAGTGTTCGTTCAACTTCCTCACCATTCAAGTAATGCTTAAGGTTCCATTATTACTAATAATCTGCTCCATATTAGTATTGGTTTACACTGCATTGCCATAGTTTATATCTTTATTCTGATAATTTAGCTGGCCTAAATGGTATCCTTCCTTATTGTTTATAGACAGGAATAGCCATTTGGATAGCTATCTCATCAGATCATACTCCAAAGTTTCTGATTGTCGCCCAATAAGAAGTTGCAACAAATTCTTATTTTCCTCGACCGGAAAGAAATAGGTATTTTTATATTCCAGCATATAAGATTCTTGTGTTAAAGTTGGAACCAAATATATTAACATTTGAACATTCATTAATGTTAAACTTGTAACAATAGAGTTTTCATTTATAGCATAACAATTAATTACTAATATGTATACATGGTTACCATTTTTGAATTTTAGCAGGTATTTTGAACTGACTTTTGCTTTTTAAAATCAGATGATTCAACTAGAATCAAGAAAGGTCGTGGAAGGACAATGGGAAAAGGTCTTGAGAAAATGAAGAAGTCTATAGGAAAAAAGATGGTTATAGAAATCCCAGTTGGTAAAGGAAGGCCAGTTGAGGCAATTCCATCAGCAAAGCTATCAAATGAGTTAGGAATTATTGCTCGCAACTTTCTTTCGCTTCCAAACAAGTGGAAGGAACTCACAAGAGAGGATAAGGATGCATCATTAATTAGATGCCATGTAAGGATTCTATATTTTGGTAGATTTTATTACATTGTAAATATGTTAGATTTTAATCTTTTCCGAGCAAAGGAAATTTTGATTGTTTTGTGAGTGTCTTCAAAACTTCTCATTTTGCAGGAGAAGTTTGAAATTAACTTGGACGAGCATTACACCGAAGATAGTTGTGAGGATATTCTGAAAATAGAAGCCGACAATGGCGCTACAAATTAAAAAAGCTATTTGAAAGTGCAAGCTTCGAGGAAGAGGCTCGTAAAATTGAAGTGCCAGAGTTGACCCCGGAAAATTAGAATAGGCTCTGTGACATGTGGGCGAATCTAGAGCATAAGGTAATATTAGTACTACTTCCATCATAAGTCGCCATTTAATATTAGGGTATCGTTTTCTTTTTCAAGAACTAATAGAAGGTTCGGGGAAAGAGATGATATTGAATTGGATTAAGGTAGCCATTTAAGAAAGGGAAGATTTTAGGGATTACAGATTGAGGAGGCTGAAAATTGGTGGTGTAAACTGTATTGGGAAAATTGAGTTTACATATTAAAGTGATTGGAAGATGATGTGTCATGACACGTAGACTGGTCAAAGAGTTATAATTGGCAAAGAGGCACGAGTTGCAACAGATACGAGCAGAAGCATAAGAGGAGGCACGAGCGGATACTCAAGAGATTCAACGCCCGTACCTATTTAAGTTCAAGAATCAAGGAGAATGAATCTGACAGCACAAAAGAGTACAGATACAATATTTAATGAGCATTAAATACTAAAAATGTTAGAGAATCTGTATTAAAATACAATGATTATGTAATGTAGCATTTAATATCTTTAATTGTCTATAATGGTCTTATTATGACAAAGGCAAAACGCATATTTCCAAGATAGCTATAAAAGGGAAAGAATGGGTCAATTGTAAAAGAAAAAAGACTATCTGAATACATTGGTTTATTTTATCTTTTTCTAATTATCTTATTGCTGGCCAAATTACTTTCTCTTATACATTTCTTGATTATCAGTAATCCGAGTTCTTCTAAATTAAAACGTTGGCCGAAATTCCACGTTTTGGTTAAACAAATTGGTTCTGTTACCGGGAAACTGATAATCTTTTCTTTTTTAGTTTAACATTCCTTGTTGCATCAACAATGTCGAACAATAATGACAACATTCAAAGAAACCAACAACTTCAGGGAAATCTACAGGATAATTGCACCCCGGTCCCTTCTCCACAAAGCTATCCTCGGCGGTCTCGAGAAGGCACTCCTGATGGATCTCATGCAAATGGAAACACTCAATTTGAAAATGTTGAAGCTATCGAAGAAGCTTTGCAAAAACTAATTGCTGAACAGGTCAATAAAGCTCTTGAGGCTTTTGCTAGCCAGTGACCAGCTGCACCACCCACACCCACTCCAAATAACAACACTTTGGAGAACCCTCGCTCTGGGCTTGTTAATTCAGGTAGTGGTGGAACCCTCAGCGAATCACAAGAGGGAGTACCAGGTAACTTAGTCAATTCTGATTTACAAAATTTAGTACTAACATTGCAGAAACATCTCAAGGAGCAAAGTGACCGCATAGAGCAAATACCCGGAGTGCCGCTCGTAATCAAAGGGATAGATATGGATAAATATTCGCAACAACCCTGGAAGCCAAGTGCCGTTCCCCTCCCAATTCCAAATAAATTCAAAATGTCCGATATTCCAAAATACGATGGAACAACTGATCCACGAGACCACGTGACTACATTCACAACAG